TTATGACTACTATACAGTTCGTACGCACTGAGCGCGCTGTAGGTAAGTATTTAAGAGGCTGGCGCATGCATGTTAATAGGAACATAGATGTTGCAGATATTAAGCCACTGATAGATGATAAAATAAAACAGGAACTAGCCAGTCTGGGAAGTATCAAATTTCAAATCACAGTTAAAATGACACTCGAGAAGAATGTGGGGGATGTTACCGAGTACGTTCAGCCTTACTTCCGAGGTAAACAAGAGGTCGTGACCCAGATAGAGACTATAGACACATCGATCGATACTAGTTTTCAGCAGATACAGGAACACCTAGAACGCTACACACACTTGGGATCCGGGTGGGCTGTAGATAAAATCGATATTGTCTATCTAGACATAGCTAACTACGTGCCGTTCAGAGGCGGGTCATACCTAGACTTGCCTCCATACTATAAGAAAAAACATGCCATAGTCAATGTCAAGAATAGAGGAAACGATTGCTTGAGATTAGCTATCAGATCAGCCTTGTTTCCAGCTGACACTCATTCAGACAGGCTTTCTAGTTATCCCCAAGACGATGGACTCAACTGGGATGGTATAGATGAACCAACCACCATATCTCAGATCACTAAAGTAGAAAAACAGAATAATCTAGCTATAAATGTCTTTGGACACGAAGACAATACAACAATAATATACACAGGCTCAGCTCGTTGGTGGGGAAACGTGTTATCAATATATTCATGATCCAACGAGGTGAAAAGTATCACTACACGTGGATAAAACATTTCAATCGGTTGTTGCACGATCAGTCGAAACACAATGGGAAAAAACACTTTTGTATGCGATGCCTACACGGCTTCATACGAGCTGATTTATTAGAATCCCACCAGGAGTATTGCCAAGGTGTGGGACAGACAGCTATACGCATCGACATGCCCGAGGAAGGTGACAATATCCTAAAATTCTACAACCACAAGCACCAAATGTCCGTGCCTTATATTATATACGCCGACTTTGAAGCATTGGTCAAACCAATTACGGCTGCCGCCGGCATGGCCACATACAAAACACAAGAGCATGAAGCATGTGGATTTGGATACATAGTCGTCCGTTGTGATGGTGAAACGAAATCTCCCGTAGTATACAGGGGTCCTGACGCGGTTGAAAGGTTTCTAAAGTGTTTGCAGGAGGAAGAAGAAATTATTAGGAACGCGTTGTATAGAATCGCTCCCATGCGTATGACCCAAGCCGACAGGTTAGCTCACTCCCGTAGCATTAACTGTCACGTGTGTGACTCACCACTTAACGGTGATTCGGTGAGAGATCACTGTCACATAACCGGTAAGTATAGAGGCGCCGCTCATAACGAGTGTAACCTTAAGCTTAGAATCAACCCTAAGACAATAAACATCCCCGTTGTCTTTCACAACTTGAGAGGGTACGACTCACACTTGATCATGCAGGCCATCGCGAAAATTGATGGTAATATAACGTGCATTCCCAACAACATGGAGAAATATCTCTCTTTCAGCTTAGACGGACTTAGGTTCATTGACTCGTGCCAATTTCTATTGTCGTCACTAGCCAGCCTGATCAAAGCCAACGATACCTTCCCTATTACCGATCGATACACAGACGCCGAGACTAGATCTCTGCTTATGAGGAAGGGTGTGTATCCCTATGAGTACATGGATAGTTGGACTAAGTTCGCCGAGACCAGACTACCCCCCATCAGAGAATTTTACAGCAATCTGACAGACTCGGAAATATCCGAAGACGATTACTCATACGCTATTAACGTATGGAATAAACTTGGTTGTAAAAACCTAGGTGACTATCACGATCTGTACTTGAAGATGGATGTACTACTATTAGCCGACGTATTTGAGACATTTAGGCGGACATGTATCAAGCAGTATAAACTAGATCCAGCATGGTATTACACCAGCCCAGGTCTGTCGTGGGATGCCTTGTTGAAAAAGACCGGAGTTAAGTTGGAATTGCTTACAGATTACGACATGCACCTATTCATTGAGAAAGGCTTGCGAGGCGGGATCTCCATGGCAACCAAGCGATACGCTAAAGCAAATAATCAATACGTGAATGGCTACGACCCTAGCAAACCAACCAATCACATTCTCTACCTCGACGCCAACAACCTGTATGGCTGGGCTATGAGTCAGTATCTACCCACAGGGGGATTCGAATGGGTATCATCCGATTTCGATATTATGAGCATCACGCCGGATTCGAACAAAGGTTATATCCTCGAAATTGACTTGGAGTATCCCAAGGTATTACACACATCACACAACAGCTACCCCCTGGCTCCCGAACGTATGAGGGTTAACCCAGACTGGATGTCTGAATACCAACATAACTTGTTAGATAGGCGGGTGACGGGCGTTGAAAAACTCGTACCTAACTTGATGAACAAGACCAAATACATAGTTCACTATCGCAACCTGCAGCTGTACCTGTCGTTGGGTATGAAACTGGCCAAAATACATAGGGTGCTCGTGTTCAATCAGAGTCCTTGGATGGAGCCCTACATCAGAATGAACACGGACCTGCGAAAGCTTGCCACCAGTGACTTTGAGAAAAATCTCTACAAGCTCATGAACAACTCGGTGTTCGGTAAGACTATGGAAAACCTGAGGAAACGCGTGGACGTAAAGCTGGTTCGATCGAATGAGGAGGACAAACTCAGGAAGCTGATCGCTAACCCTGCATTCAACCGTAGTAAGATATTCGATAACGACCTGGCTGCCATACACATGAAGAAAAGTCACATAAAATTCAACCGGCCTGTTTACGTGGGGATGAGCATCCTCGATTTATCCAAACACCTGATGTACGACTTTTACTACAACGAGCTTAAGAAACAGTACGACGACAGGTGTGAAGTGCTGTACACTGACACGGATTCCCTGCTGATGGAGATTCGAACCGAGGACGTGTATGAGGACATGAAAAAACGCCTCGATTTGTATGACACCAGTGACTACCCCAAGGACCATACCATACACAGCACGGTAAATAAAAAGGTCCTAGGTAAGATGAAGGACGAGTGTGCAGGCACGTCCATAGCTGAGTACATAGGGTTGAGGCCTAAGATGTACTCTATACTGAAAGCCGACAATAGTGAGATCCGGAAGGCTAAGGGTGTTAAGAAGTACGTGGTGAAAGAAATGGGTATCATCCGATTTCGATATTATGAGCATCACATCAAACACGCCATATTCAAGGAATCCCTGTTCAAAACCCGTACCTTTAAACATAAAATAAACACACTTAGAAGTGATAGTCATAGGATATATGGGCTGACAATAAACAAGACGTCCCTGTCGCCTATGGATACTAAACGTTGGATAGCTATTGATGGGATAAACACGTACGCGTACGGGCATGAGAAAATTGAACCAAGAACATAGGTATAAATATCGGGGCGACATGTCACGGAACCAGAAAAAGTTTGAGGCTATTTACTATAGCCCGCGTGGGTACTGGAAAGGAGCTAGCGCTGTAGATAAGCTGGCTAAAATGGCGCGAGTACCGCCGGAGGAAGTCAAAGCGTGGCTTGAAAAACAAGCACTTTGGCAGATCTATTTGCCACCACCACGCTACGTGCCTAGAAGGAAGTTCGGTATTAACATACCTAATAGCGTTCACCAGGCAGACTTACTGTTCCTACCCCATGATAAAAGGTACAAGTATGCCTTAACCATAGTGGACGTGGCCAGTCGCTACAAGGAAGCCGAACCCTTGACTGCGAAAGATTCGGCCCAGGTAGCCAGAGGATTCGAACGCATATACAAACGCAGCCCGCTGACGTGTCCAACAGAGCTGCAAGTTGACCCCGGGCGGGAGTTCATGGGTGTCGTGTCACACCTGTTAGACAAACACGATACGAAGGTCAGGCGTGGCACGGCCGGAGCCCATCGTAGCCAAGCTATAGTTGAGAGATTCAATAGAACTTTGGCTGAGCGCTTATTCGGACATCAGTATGCGAGAGAGATGGCTGCTCCGGGAAAGCGATCGACTGAATGGGTCACGAGGTTACCTAAGGTGGTGTTGGCAATCAACCATGAAGTCACCCGTCTCACCGGTAAAAAGCCGGCAGACGCTATAAAATTAAAATCGATAGCAGCAGAGCCGGCCGCTCCTTTGCGTGGGAAGGAGAAACAAATACCAGATAGGTCTCTAGTGAGATATTTATACGAGCCTGGGGAACACGAGGGTGATACTCGGAAACGAGCTACTGATCCTATATGGTCAGTCAAAACTTACAACATAGATAAAGTAGACATCAAAGCCGACGAACCTAACTTGTACTACTTAATGGATGGCCCCGGCAGAGGGTTTGTAAAAGAAGAATTATTAATCATACCGTATGACACAGTATTACCTCCTATCAACACGACATAGAGGCAAGATACCCGGTGGAGTTCGTATCCCACTATAGTAGAGGTAATGGTAGCAAGAGATAAGGGTCCCCAACTAAAGTCTTATTTATGAAATAAAGCTTTGTAGAAGGATAGTAGAGGGTAATGGGAAGGGTCCGACTAAAGCTTTATCTATTAAATGAAGCTTTAGATTACCCTGGTCCAGGATTCTCATTCTGACACTTTGTTCTACCCCGTTGTGACGAAGTTTTGTCATAGAGGGTGACAACGCATCTGCCAATAGTGCATCATTGCATTCCTGCAGCCGCATACACCACAGAACGTCACAGCAAACAGTGAGCCCAGTGCACTTTGGCTGCACACTACTGATAGAAAAAACATTATTACGTAATGCTGGATGAATTTTCCAGGCTTGCGTCGACCTACTGCTTGTACATAGCTGCGAATCACTCAAACCTGTTTATGTAACTACTTGTAGATTACACCAGTGAGTGGGAAGTTGAAATTAATACACCCCCAACAACCATGCCCTAACTATCACGTACTCCTGTCGTTATATTCCACATACTCTCCGAGGTGCGCGAGGCTTGTTATCTGTAGCTACACTTACCTATACAATCGTGTGTTCACACTGCTCCTTTGCCGATACAAGATCATCAGGTGTTTCACGTATCAACTGAAACCGCGTATCCAACAATCGCCGGTCACAGGTACACAGGTCAGACAAGGTGCTACACGTGACAGTAGCTCGTTCCCTGAGGCTATCACATCGGCAGCGCCCTGGGTGACGCTATACCAACTACCTTGACCCTCACCCAGATAATACATCCGCATGTACAATGAACTGAACACATTAGGGGATTTCTCTAACATCAAAAAGAGTGTAATGAATGTTTGAATAATATAACTGGAGGCAATTTATACGTTGTGGATATCCATTTCGTGGACGGTCTGGTGAGGTGAAATAACAATGAATGTATACAACTTATGGTAAACATCTGTACCTAAATATTGCATAAATATAATAGATTTAAAATTAAATTGGAAACTTTGAGAAAAGGGAAAATATGTAAGTACTATAAGTGTGAGATTTCTGCTGGGTGTAGAAAACGAAAACAAATTCTACAAGGCTTGTTATAAGGGTCTATAAAGGGAGAAGATTCTCAGCTTACAATTTCACGTTGTCACAACTTTATGTTAGTATAACCGCACAACGCTATTCTGTGGACTCCCATTTACGTTGACACAACGTTGTATGATGACTTTACCAACCTACAACCTTCCCACAACGTTGTATGATGACTTTACCAATCCACAACCTTCCCACAACGTTGTATGATGACTTTACCAATCTACAAACTTCCAACAACGTTGTATGATGACATTACCAATCTAGAACCTTCCCACAACGTTGTATGATGACGTTACCAATCTACAACCTTCCCACAACGTTGTATGATGACGTTACCAATCTACAACCTTCCCACAACGTTGTATGATGACTTTACCAACCCACAACCTTCCCACAACGTTGTATGATGACTTTACCAATCTACAAACTTCCAACAACGTTGTATGATGACATTACCAATCTAGAACCTTCCCACAACGTTGTATGATGACGTTACCAATCTACAACCTTCCCACAACGTTGTATGATGACTTTACCAATCTACAACCTTCCCACAACGTTGCATGATGACTTTACCAATCTACAACCTTCCCACAACGTTGTATGATGACGTTACCAGTCTACAACCTTTCCACAACGTTGTATGATGACGTTACCAATCTACAACCTTCCCACAACGTTGTATGATGACGTTACCAATCTACAACCTTCCCACAACGTTGTATGATGACTTTACCAATCCACAACCTTCCCACAACGTTGTATGATGACTTTACCAATCTACAAACTTCCAACAACGTTGTATGATGACATTACCAATCTAGAACCTTCCCACAACGTTGTATGATGACGTTACCAATCTACAACCTTCCCACAACGTTGTATGATGACTTTACCAATCTACAACCTTCCCACAACGTTGCATGATGACTTTACCAATCTACAACCTTCCCACAACGTTGTATGATGACGTTACCAGTCTACAACCTTTCCACAACGTTGTATGATGACGTTACCAATCTACAACCTTCCCACAACGTTGTATGATGACGTTACCAATCTACAACCTTTCCACAACGTTGTATGATGACGTTACCAATCTACAACCGTTCCACACCGTTGTATGATGACGTTACCAATCTACAACCTTTCCACAACGTTGTATGATGACGTTACCAATCTACAACCGTTCGACACCGTTGTATGATGACGTTACCAATCTACAACCTTCCCACAACGTTGTATGATGACTTTACCAATCCACAACCTTCCCACAACGTTGTATGATGACTTTACCAATCTACAAACTTCCAACAACGTTGTATGATGACATTACCAATCTAGAACCTTCCCACAACGTTGTATGATGACGTTACCAATCTACAACCTTTCCACAACGTTGTATGATGACTTTACCAATCTACAACCTTCCCACAACGTTGCATGATGACTTTACCAATCTACAACCTTCCCACAACGTTGTATGATGACGTTACCAGTCTACAACCTTTCCACAACGTTGTATGATGACGTTACCAATCCACAACCTTTCCACAACGTTGTATGATGACGTTACCAATCTACAACCTTTCCACAACGTTGTATGATGACGTTACCAATCTACAACCGTTCCACACCGTTGTATGATGACGTTACCAATCTACAACCTTTCCACAACGTTGTATGATGACGTTACCAATCTACAACCGTTCGACACCGTTGTATGATGACTTTACCAATCTACAACCTTTCCACAACGTTGTATGATGACGTTACCAATCTACAACCGTTCCACAACGTTGTATGATGACGTTACCAATCTACAACCTTCCCACAACGTTGTATGATGACGTTACCAATCTACAAACTTCCCACAACGTTGTATGATGACTTTACCAATCTACAACCTTCCCACAACGTTGTATGATGACGTTACCAATCTACAACCTTTCCACAACGTTGTATGATGACGTTACCAATCTACAACCTTTCCACAACGTTGTATGATGACGTTACCAATCTACAACCTTCCCACAACGTTGTATGATGACTTTACCAATCTACAACCTTCCCACAACGTTGTATGATGACGTTACCAATCTACAACCTTCCCACAACGTTGTATGATGACGTTACCAATCTACAACCGTTCCACAACGTTGTATGATGACGTTACCAATCTACAACCTTTCCACAACGTTGTATGATGACGTTACCAATCTACAACCTTCCCACCACGTTATGAAAACTTTGTGTGTTATTTGGGATTGCATACTTTATACTTGGGAGTAACACAGCCGAGTACAGACTTATAGTTAGATCGTCATTCGAGGAGTTCGTGAGTGAATAACGAACCATACACCTCTATGGTTAACAACTTCTTGTTTATTGTATTAAGCGAGGTTTTGGTATATATTCTTACACCGTAATGAGGAAGAAGGAACTATAACCAAGTGACGAGATGTATATGTGCAAAGCGTGTCCTCATAAAGAATCTCAAATTTCACGATGAGGAACAGTTTTGTGCTTTCAGTAAGCCTTGACGGACTCAAGATGTGACAGTGGTGTCTGCGGAAAGTCCGGGGCATCTACACAGGAGTAGACACCGCTGCCCACTTGTGGTCATCCCTACCCAGGTGTGGTCATCCCTACCCAGGTGTGGTCATCCCTACCCAGGTGTGGTCATCCCTACCCAGATGTGTTGATCCCTACCCAAGTGTGGTCATCCCCACCCAGGTGTGGTCATCCCTACCCAGGTGTGGTCATCCCTACCAGGTGTGGTCATCCCTACCCAGGAGTGGTTATCCTTACCCAGGAGTGCTCATCCCTACCAAGTGTGGTCATCCCTACCCAGGTGTGGTCATCCTTACCCAAGAGTGGTCATCCCTACCCAGGAGTGGTCATCCCTTCCCAGGAGTGGTCCCTACCCAGGTGTGGTCATCCCTACCCAGGAGTGGTCATCCCTACCCAGGTGTGGTCATCCCTACCCAGATGTGGTCATCCTTACCCAGGAGGGGCCCTCCCTACCCAAGTGGGGTCATCCCTACCCAGGTGTGGTCATCCCTACCCAGGAGTGGTGATCCCTACCCAAGTGTGGTCCCTACCCAAGTGTGGTCATCCCTACCTAGATGTGGTCATCCCTACCCAGGTGTGGTCATCCCTACCCAGGAGTGGTCCCTACCCAGGTGTGGTCATCCCTACCCAGGAGTGGTCGTCGTTAACCCGGCGTGGTCATTCCTAGCCAGATTTGGTGATCCCTACCCAAGTGTGGTGATCCCTACCCCGGTGTGGTCATCCCTACCCCGGTGTGGTCATCCCTACCCAGATGTGGTCATCCCTACCCAGGAGTGGTGATCCCTACCCAAGTGTGGTCCCTACCCAGGTGTGGTCATCCCTACCCAAGTGTGGTCATGCCTACCCAAGTGTGGTCATCCCTACCCAAGTGTGGTCATCCCTACCCAGATGTGGTCATCCCTACCCAGGTGTGGTGATCCCTACCCAAGTGTGGTCCCTACCCAGGTGTGGTCATCCCTACCCAGATGTGGTCATCCCTACCCAGGTGTGGTCATCCCTACCCAGGAGTGGTCATCCCTACCCAGGTGTGGTCATCCCTACCCAGATGTGGTCATCCTTACCCAGGAGGGGTCATCCCTACCCAGGTGTGGTCATCCCTACCCAGGATTGGTGATCCCTACCCAAGTGTGGTCCCTACCCAGGTGTGGTCATCCCTACCCAAGTGTGGTGGTCCCTACCCAGGTGTGGTCATCCCTGCCCAGGATTGGTCGTCGTTAACCCGGCGTGGTCATTCCTAGCCAGATTTGGTGATCCCTACCCAAGTGTGGTGATCCCTACCCCGGTGTGGTCATCCCTACCCAGATGTGGTCATCCCTACCCAGGAGTGGTGATCCCTACCCAAGTGTGGTCCCTACCCAGGTGTGGTCATCCCTACCCAATTGTGGTCATGCCTACCCAGGTGTGGTCATCCCTACCCAAGTGTGGTCATCCCTACCCAGATGTGGTCATCCCTACCCAGGTGTGGTGATCCCTACCCAAGTGTGGTCCCTACCCAGGTGTGGTCATCCCTACCCAGATGTGGTCATCCCTACCCAGGTGTGGTCATCCCTACCCAGGTGTGGTCATCCCTACCCAGATGTGGTGATCCCTACCCAGGAGTGGTGATCCCTACCCAAGCGTGGTCCCTACCCAGGTGTGGTCATCCCTACCGAGATGTGGTCATCCCTACCCAGGTGTGGTCATCCCTACCCAGGAGTGGTCCCTACCCAGGCGTGGTCATCCCTACCCAGGAGTGGTCGTCGTTAACCCGGCGTGGTCATTCCTAGCCAGATTTGGTGATCCCTACCCAAGTGTGGTGATCCCTACCCCGTGGTGGTCATCCCTACCCAGGTGTGGTCATCCCTACCCAGATGTGGTGATCCCTACCCAGGTGTGGTCATTCCTACCCAGGAGTGGACATCACTACACAGGCGTGGTCATCCCTACCCGGGTGTGGTCATCCCTAACCAGGTGTGGTCATCCCTAACCAGGTGTGGTCATCCCTACCCAGGTGTGGTAATCCATACCCAGGTGATTTCATCACTACGCAGGTGTTGTCATTGCTACACAGGAGTTGAGTGAGTGAGTGAGTGAGTTTTGTTTTATCCCTCTGTTAGCAATATTCCAGCATTATCATGGCAGTGGACACCAGAAATTGGCTTCACACATTGTACCTATGTGGGGAATCGAACCTGGGTCTTCGGCATGATGAGCGAACGCTATAACCACTAGGCTACCCCATCGCCAAAACCAGGATTGGTCATCGCTACCTGGACAATACGCTTGACACAAATGTGCCCTATACGAGGACAACCTCATGGATCAGTGAATAAGCTTGGTACAAATGTGCCCTATACGAGGACAGCCTCGACATGGATCAGTGAATAAGCTTGGTACAAATGTGCCCTATACGAGGACAGCCGCATGGATCAGTAAATAAGCGTGGTACAAATGTGCCCTACACGAGGACCTACAGGAGCGTCAAGGTAGCATGATATTTGTTTGTCCCTCAACACCAACTTTTTTATGCCGTCATGCTTCACACGACCTTATTTTGACATCCTGAGAGACTAAGACTGACAACCTTTTTATGAATTAAACACTACGTCGACAATCTTCTTAGACAATCGGTATGGGCTTTTTACATGACGTGGGACCAGCATCTTTCTGAGTTTGATAATGTATGGACGCCCGTCATGGCATGTGCGTTTATGGTAGTGTGGGAATATCTTTCTGAAAGGTTGTGCTTAAGACAACGCATTGGGTATTATTAAGACCACATTATATGTACAGTACTTACTAACACGTTTCACAAGATCCGATAGGGACATGTTTCTTTTTCCCCTACGAGGATTAAATCACGCGTGTGACTACTTTCTACTCATGCTACCACTGATGCGTCCAGCAAAGCCGTAATTAACTATTGACTCTGCAACTGTTATGTTGCTGGGTGCACGGCAATAGAAACAAACACGTATGATGTTATATTTCTGACGATATCGACCAACACTTTGGGGACAAAGTGGGGGAACATTGGTGCTGGGATGCTGTCAGAGGGCGCTCACAACGATCTGTTATGACAAAAAGGATGACTTGACTTGACTAGTGTTAGTGTTGCGAATATCCCTTCTCGAGATGTCACCGACGATGGCGGCTGTGCTGTACCTGTATATCCTGGTCGTGTACACACGTCTCATAGCAGGCGGTAAGTTGACGACTTCCTACATTTACCAACGAAAGGTTTTATTAACATGTGTTATTCGTTTATTTGTGTCATTCTGAAGGATTCACATTTGTATACTTTTATTCAAAACTCAACAAATTAGAGTTATTACCAAAGCACACCAAATGTGAAAGTTACGTTTTTTGGATTTCTCCGTATATGACTTGTCTAAAGAGACATGACAGTTTTATATCACAGACAGTGATACTCCTAAGACGTTAACCGCCGTGATATAGCTGGAATATTGTTAAAAGCGGCGTAAAACTGAACTCACTCACTCTAAGACGTTAAAGTTGTATAATTGCCGAGAAAAAGAACATGCATGGTTCACGAAATACGATGAAAGATTTGATGATGTCACAGCACAGTATCGCTGGAGGAGCCAACAAATGTCAAGAAACTGTTACAATATGTATGGTGCCCTATAATTGCCATCGCGGGGCGCGTAAAAAAAGAACTACGGCGTCGCATAAAAAAGACGACGTCTTGCGCGACGTCGCTTTGTAAAATATATTTTGGCTACAAAAATAACGGGCGACGTCGCCCATGACGTAATTCTATTTTTACGCGCCACGCGATGGCAATTATAGTACACCATAAATATGAGAAGGGCATTCAATACATCCTCAAATGTGAGCTGTATTGGTATCAGTAGTATTTCAAGGAAAAACCAATATGCATAGCAGTCGACAATTTCACTACCAGGCAGTGTCGGAGCGTCGGAGCGTTTATCTGACAACTCTGCGTAACGTACTGGCTGTAAACAAAATATATTTGATAGTAATAAATAACAATAATGATGTGTCCATCTATAACTCCACACTAGGTATGCTCATAGCGCTAACAGTGAATATCACAGTACATTATTACCCCGAATAACCCAGGCTGCCTGTTAGGTGCTAGAAGGTTATAGTTGCATGACTTATTCCACCGGGTACCCATTTTCTGCTGGGTGAACAGAGGCAATTTTGAACAAACTCACTTGCCTAAGGTGAGACCACATGTATGACATGTGCTTCGTTGTGGGCAGGACTGAAGTTCTAGAAACTCCCAGGAGTTAAGTTGCTAATCATGGTCACCCTGACTCACCCATACAAGGGCTCTCCGTGCTCAACGTTGCTTAAATCAACTGAATTGTGACCTAAGCTCTAATCACGGGACCACACACCACTACGCAATCTACCGGTGATTTAGTTATATTTATGACGGATGGCCAAGCTCGTGTTTGAGCTCTTGCAGAAACATTACATATCCACAACGAATTATCCAGGATCAAGTACCGTTTGGCGGGAGTTCATTGATTGCGTCGGCTGTGACTGTAAACCTGACCTTATGACGACCAGACCGATCTGAATTGAGAACGGCATCGTGAGGTCCCGTTGGTGAATTCCTACTGTAAGAGATGGTAGCCACTCTTCCTGCTGTCCTCATTCCCACAGAACGTGGTTGTAACTTTATGGGTCGCAGAATACACCAGAGAGACCTTGATGTATTGTAGCAACCCCTCCATCAATAATGGAACACAATACCTGAACGTTGAATTCACAGTCTGATACAGTCAATGAGGAGGAGGGTTAAGGATGCTATTCCTGCCACCGGAGGTTACACCAGATATTGATGAGTTCTTGAGGATATATGGCATAATCATGAAAATGACCGCACTTGTTAATGTCACACGAACATAATTATCAACACTACAAAATGAGCCATGTTTTTGCCATGTTTGTTTCCATGAATATGCTACTACAGTTTTCTTGTGTCTCGATTTGCCATTAGTTTATTATCTGAGGGTCAGTGTAACCAGATAGTAAGTTAAATTTAGGTTCAAATAGATTCCATTAGCTTTGGTTCATGGTAACATATGTTTATAACAACAAGTCCTTGTCTTTTTCGACGGGATGCGGAGAAAACGGACCCCAGCGAAAACGAACCCGAGAAAAATCGAGAAAACGGCCACCGCGCTCGAGAGAACGGCCTCCGAACCTAGAGAAAAAGGCCACCATAGTTGCACCAAGATCAAAGGATATATATATATTCTAAATAATAGACATTTACTTCATTGTGGTTAAACGTTTGAAGATTGATTGGTTGTTTCGATATCCATAGCGGTTAAACGTTTGAAGATTGATTGGTTGTTTCGATATCCATAGCGGTTAAACGTTTGAAGATTGATTGGTTGTTTCGATATCCATACCGGTTAAACGTTTGAAGATTGATTGGTTGTTTCGATATCCATAGTTATGATGAACAAACCATTTGATTGATTGTAGATTTTACAGGTAAGATTATTTCATAATAGAGAGAAAAAAAGATAATAAGGCAGTGTTTATATTGAAGAAAGGAGAGTAGAATATTTAATTACATCAAATGTGAATAAAGAAAGCTCTTTTAACTAATTCCAACTTTTGGTCTTGTAGTTCTGCCATAATCCCTAGTATGGTGATCTACCTTCAGTTGTAGGCAATCTATATCCTGTTTTCAAATTGTATTGTCATCTATAGTTTAAATGTTTTATGTTTAATGAATTTAAATTTGTATCACGAGTCACCATGAGTCAGGTCAAAATATCCAATCACCCCGCTACTATCTGTCTACTGACTGACGTGAAAGTGAGAAAACAGGTTGACAAAAGAATTAATTGATCATCTTATCTAATACTTTTACTGACAACCACTGAGTAATGATAACATCTCGTGTTTATTCAATAATTGTTGACGGGTGAAGGCGCAAGCCCGAAATAGTCCTTTCCGGTCGGCTGCCGCTTTCCGGTCGGCTGTTTAAAGAGGTCTTGACATATACGCTTGGTCCTGATCAGCCGGTTCAGGCTCATAACGCCGACCTTTCGACCAAACTTTACGGTTGAGTGAAATATAAAGGTCGACGTCCTGAGACTAGTTTCATTTTGCCAATTAATAATGGGTTACGAGGACAATGCAGGATCAAAAAGCTGTTAGAGGAGGATAATCCGGATTATGCGGATGAGAGCGCACCTAATGAGAAGATGACAACAGATGACAGATTTTAGCATTTTTAATAAATACATCGTAAATTCATATAGCATACATTTTTTCACAGATTTTAACGGACAGTGTTCCTTGTTCAAGCTGGTGACAGATGTCATCCAGTCGTCGCTCCAAATCCCTGTATTTCCTCTTCTTGGACGGACGCTTCTGGCCAGCAGCATACTGGACCAGCTCGTTTTCGGTGTTGGTCTGTTCTCGTGACAGGAACGACACAATCTCGAAAATGTTTGGATGAGCCTTGCCGACGTATTTCTTCAGGCGGGAATGCCACCATTCTAGGTGGTTGTTTGTTCTTGGCCCATCTGAGTAGTGGTGGTTCCATTGCGTCGTGTGCAGATCTCCCTCCACCCAGAAGTTGGTCATGTAGTCTCCGAGTTGTCGGCAGCGGCTATCATCTGGCATCGTTGCCAAGGTATCCAGCCACAGATCCTCTACCTGAAAAAGAAAAGATACATTAATTAATGTTACTGAATATACAGGACAAAATAAAACCGTTATTACACAACCTTTTGGGGTGGAGCTAACTATTTGTTTTAAAATAACTGACCTCCTGTGCTGGCACCAAAGGCGAGACGGCACATCATTATTAACAATTTGGGTCCAACAAAGAAACAAAGAATCATTAACCATTTGTTTCCAAACCTTTCCATTTATTAAGCATCTTACTGAAACACTGTTATAAAATTCGACAAAACTGTGGCAATCACGGAATAATATTTATACATATATAAGAATTTAAACTCTTACCTTAATATCACTCGTGACAGTTTGGTGATTGTGTTCATCTTTCACCATGGTGACGATGTCATTCGTTGTTGATGCTGTGCATTTGCAGTCTTTTGCAGTACATATCCAAGATTTCCAGTCTCGTTTTCTCTTGCTGACTCTGTACGTGAACCCGCCAACAACCAAGTAACGACTGCCGCGAGCTGCTAAGTGTTATTGTAAACTTTTCAATCAATTGGAAGTGACATGTGCGACGAGTTCACCTTATCCAAACATCTAGAGTAGATTATCCGCAACCCTAATTAAGCCTAATCAGAACCTAACCTTCAAAGGCAACCGCAGGTCGGCGTCCTGGGACTAGTGGAAAATCGAAAGGTCGGCGTCCTGAGACGACACCGATCAGCCAGCCGGCGGCCACTTATATCTCTTTAAGAAAAACATGAAATACTATTATTTGATAGATAGAGTTCTTATTTATTCTGTTTATCCCTTTATTACATCTATAGTAGTATAGGAAGTGGAGCGAAAAACGAGCATAGGTGCACCCTGCCTAGGAGCTCCAAACAATCCAGTTCGGCTCCCAGCGCCTACAAATATAAGGTGGTGGACTACATTTCTGGGTTGGACCACTTTTCGTCCTCCATTGCCAGCGGCCACAGAAGACAAAAAGGTAGCCATGCACAGAGGTACACCCTGTCTACAGGAGCCTCCAATTCGGTTTCCACAACCCACGAAAGTAGCCACACACAGGCCGCCGATGGAAGTGCGATCCAATTAGAGATAGACAGGTACATAGGTATAGAACAATGCCAGGAACCAAGCTATCGCGCGAAGCCCATGTCGAGATTCGATCTGGTCGTTTGTCCATTCGGGAGGCGAAGAGGAAGTACCACATATCGCAAGCCCGATACACGCGAATCCGGGGATACAGTAGGGGATCGCGATTTCTTCTGGAACCTCGAGAGGGAGAAATCACTCCTAGGCAGGGTGCACCTGTGCCCATTTTTCGCTCCACTCCCCATACTACTCGTATCATCATAATCATTATCAATAACAACAAACGAGCATTCTGCGGCAAACAGTGTAATACATAAATACAACTTGTAGATAAACAACCTAAAACTTAGCTATTTCTATGTTATCATTGTTGTTGCCTTCTTATTCTGTTATTGATTTAGAGATGATTAAAAAAAATATAATACATGTAGTTTTCTGTTATATATAATGGCCGTT